AATAATCAGTATCACAGAAGATAAAATACCAATATAAAAAGTTTTTTTTGGGTTGATGGGGAGGGGTGGAAACCCGTTACCCCTCCCCCCGTAACTACACCACTGGTGGTACGCATTCAATACATAATGCATTTTTTTAGGTCATAAATGCAATTTTTTTGTAAAGGGAATTTTTCGGTACCTATTTTCAAGGACATTTATATCCGAGCCCTAATGATAATGTATACGCATGTTTAAAATTATATTATATACGACGACACAACGTACAAAATATACATAATAATATCAGACGATGTTATATATATCATGAATGACGTTGCAGACGACACTTACAGTAAAGGTGTGGCGAAGGCGGCCGGTTGGGGTACGCTGTACGAGAACGGAAGTCCRTCGTGTCAACTCAGACAGGTGGACGTGCCGATAATCGACAACGTAGAGTGCGCCAAGACCAACTACACTGGCGAACTGATCACGGAGAACATGATTTGCGCTGGGTACGAGGCGGGTGGCAAGGACTCTTGTCAGGGTGATAGCGGTGGACCGCTGATGAGGCTCATGGACAACAAACGGTTCGAGATCATCGGTACGCAATACAGTTGTTATCTTAATGTTCACAATCCATGAGTGTTCCCAGACATTGTTCTTAAATATTGACATCRTCTACTCCGTGCACCTAAAATAAATATATGTTTCGAAACATTCCTCGACCCATCAAACATAAAATCGTGACCCACTTTTGGGTMGTGGCCCATAGTTTGGGAATCTCTGGTCTCATTATGCTGCGAGAAATATTGCGGGGGATATAGTTATTAGCAGGGTTCGGGACTTACAGCACTTAAAAACACAATAATAAGCGCTAAAATATGCACTTAAAAACCCTAGAATATGCACAAAAAAAATATGTATTTAATTATTTAATTAACACCTAATTATTAATTACAAWTAGTGTCACTTGTCACATAAAAAAAACTTCTACCTATATATGATGTGAATCAGTCTTCACAAAAGGTTGGACACCCCTGCTATATAGTAAAGTACTAAACTATAGTAAATAGGTACATAAGATTGCATTACTATTTTCTTTTTTAGATTGAAATTTTAAATAATTTTCCAAAATATACAAAATATGCACATTCAAATTTTAGATTTGGTATCACGCATTGAGAAATGAATTTTATTTCGTACTCTGCCACATTTTATACAATAAATAAAAAAAGTATGCAAATGCTATAAGTCCCGAACCCTGGTTATTAGTGTTATTATTGAGACGAAAGTACGTAACGGAATTGGATTTATGAAGAAGTTGAATATTGCCCGGGAAGCAAGAAACAAAATGTTTATTGAATAAAACTAGTCTATAAGTTATATTGTGTTTATTTATATGTTATAAAAATATTGAATTTATTTCTCTAATTGATATTGAGATTTCGACARATCAATTACAGGTATCAAAAAGATTAATCATTTATTTTAAACTGTTCATACATTTATTTAGTATGATATAAAAAGATAAATGCATGATTATAATTTAACATATAAATAGCATAACTTTTAAGGGGTCTGTCCCCCAGTTCGCTTCAACCAAAGATACAATTTCACATCACTGTGTCTTGAAATTTAATATTTGTGATCTAAAATATTAAAAAATAAATGTAGATGATTAAATACCCCAAAACTTTATCAAATAATACATTTTTAACTCTTAAGTTTAACTACCTAACTAACTATATATGTATATTGTATAGGTACCAACATATTATTGTAATGTTTGTATTGTACAGTAACAATAAAAAAATAATAATCTAATAAAATTATATTTTATCTTCTCTGAAAATTGAAGTGAAAAATGCCATTATCGTTAAAAAACCTTTCCATAAAATTCGATATAATATTATGTAACGTAATAAACAAGCCGTCGAGCTTTTATAATAATATTATACAAGCGTAAAAATCGGATTTCCACGGAGGCAGCTCTTGGGTTTTAAAAGCAATTTAGCCGTGATGTTAACGTTAATTTAAGTCATTACGCATCGTCGAGTACCAGAATTAATAATTCTGAACAGATATAATTATTATTTCATGCATTGTTACAATTAAGTGATGTCAGACGAACCGAACATGATATTATGAAATCAAAAATCGTTAAAAACGAGATATGGATGGGTAGGTAACCACTCTGCTATCAGGCAGGGATCCAAAAGCCTTGACCCCCCCTCCCCGCGCAGTCTGGCGAATTGTAGAATGTCTGTTTTCGGCGGGCCGATAAAAATACATTGCCTTGTCGATTGACTTAAATTTTGGGCGTAGCCCATTCGGCTCCCGTTTTTCAAAAAGGTCAATTCCCAAACGACTCCCGATGAAAAACATTTTTTTTTAGGTTATATCCTAAGTAAATTATAAAAATTATATTCTGTSAATTAAATGTTAAAAAAGTTTTAAAAATTGACTAAAATCGTAAAAAAAATGTATATTTAAAAATATAAAAAATATCTATAGGTAAATAGTTCAAACTATTTTAAAAATAATCCCACTAACCTAAAGAAAATGCTAATATAAACATTTTGTGAAAATGTCTGCAAGTATCTATCTACGATTGTCCGTTTTTCAATCACCCCAAAAATAAAAAACAAAATCCATTTAGTCAAAAACTGGGTAGGTTTCTTTCCTCCAAAGTACCCACCGRATAGATACAATTTTTTGTCAAGAAGACAGAAACCACCCTAATTGAAAGCACTTTTACTGCTTAAAAAGATGATAACAGACCCAAAAACAAATGTTCCAATTGATGTTAATATCCTAACTAACTAGTGCTAGAAATGATATGTAATAAAAAAATTGTCAAGTACTGCATTTCATTTTTAATAATAAGTAGATAGATGTTATGTTTGTAAAAAAAAAAAAATGTTTTAAATTCTATCATATAAATTGTATCTGTACCACCGCATATTATTATCTATATAGTATACACTGTAGATCAGTGGCGTAGCCAAGGTTATAAAATGAGGGGGGAGGATTCAGAATAAATTAAACTTAGTTTCTTACATGTTTAGTACATTCATAATAATATACCAAACACCCAAATACTTCTGCGGATTATACCTGAAACTAATACCAGCTATTTGCTATTTACCAAAATATTCATCCGAACGAATTTTCCCTACATACTGTCCAAAATATAGCAGGAACCAGAGATCAATGTCTGATACCTACTGTAAGTCTTACTTTTTCTTGAATTAAAATTAGTCCCACRCCATTTCTATTTACTTACCTATAATTATACCCACTCGGGTGTTTGTTAGTGAAGATTATGCAATGCATTTTCTACTAAAAACTATATTATAGAGTAATGTATAAAGGGCATGAAGACATGAAGAATATAATAATATTGTATGATAATAAATAATAATGATATCCATGTATCGTACAGGTATCGTGAGCTGGGGTCACGGATGCGCCCGTCCTGGATATCCCGGAGTGTACACCAGGGTTGCTAAATATTTACCTTGGATCAAAGAAAACTCCAAAGAAGGATGCTATTGTTCGCAATGACAAGATAAGTGAGAACACAATGCTAAGTATATTGCTGGAAATTTCAATGTATATAATATAATTTATTTATYATATCTTATTATAGTAGTATCAATGTATCTTGTTTGATGAGGACGCATAATTTATTGTTATTAATTTTAAGCTAAGTAGGTAGTTATCATATTATAATGTTATAATAATACCATTGATTATCATTACCACAGAATAAAATCTGTGTAGTTACTAGTATTTATAATCAATAATAGTACCTTTCTATCGTTAATTATTGCTATRGAATTATAAAATGCAATGAGTGCATTGTGGACATGGAAATCTAATTATTAAATTGAGAGCTTTGGCTTTAGTGTAGTAATGAACAGTTATAGTAACTTTAAAATAATCTATGTTAGTAATTTAAAAGTTAGAAATGCAATAATGACATAGGYACAGCCATCTAGTGTGTATTAAGCATAGGTGGCTCGGACTCCTTATGTATTGAATTGTATGGTGTATGTTTGCTTTTAAGAGGACGCCACACCCGCATATGTTGTCTCCGTCTTACAAACGTATAACATAGCAAAATCTGTTTAGCSCGGGACAMCTTTACTCCCTTTGTATTTATAGTAGAATTACCAAAATTCCACAGCGTATAGGGGAGAATATTATCTGTGCAATAGCATCGTTATTTTTTTGATAACATAAGTACACTTTAAGTTATCAGTTTGAAAACATATGTTTTTTCATTTAATTATTAAAAATTATTGGTTAGTGCTATCAAAAAAATAACGATGCAGGTGCACAGATAATATTCTCCCCTAAACGTTGTGGAATTTTGGTAATTCTATTATAAATACAAAGGGAGTAAAGTTTTCCCGTGCTAAACATATTTTGCTATGTTATACGTTTGTAAGATGGAGACAACACATGCGAGTGTGGCGTCCTCTTAATGTACTAACCCATCAATATTGTAAATTTATGGGTTAGTCCATTACAGCACTGAAAGCCTCAACTAAAAATCACATTATTTAAACATGTATTTTGATATCTTCATGATACATCCCATAAAGTGTAAACAGTGTGTTAATATTAGTAGTAGTAAGACAATCAGTAACTCTATTTAAATTACTAAAAAATCTAAAAATCGTTTTTTATATTTTTTTGTAAATCATGATATATGGGAGGCCATTAGTAATAGTTTACCCCTTAAAACAAAACACTACATRCATCATAAAATATGGTTACTGATTTTCTAATTAATTTTAGTGTCATTACAATGATGTACTTAAAATATTGCAGTAGCTCAGAAGGAACTATTTCAATTTTTTTAGGCCAGTTCTTATAATGTCTGGTTGTGTCTGTTAACTTTAAACGGACATTGTACGAACAGTCCTTAATATAATAAACATTTTTTTTTTTTAATCTTATTAAATGTTTTTTTTTTCAAATAAAATAGTTAGAACAAATTTAGAAAGACATTGATAAATATACTTGGCATACTGATAAGTGGTAATATATATAGGGTGTCCCGCRAGGATTTACCCATTGCGATATCTAACGGAATAATGGAGATATCAAAATTCTGGTTTTATAATAAGATTTACAGGAATAAGAACTACAATTATTTCATTTTTAAATTTATTTTAATGTTTGGGTAAAAAAGTTAAAAAATATATTTTTTTATTTAATTATTTCCAAAAAAATTAAAGACAGCCATTTTGTAGGGTTTATT